AAAATGTTAAACTATGCCCAATAATGCATTTTATAAAAATCACACGGCCCCACGCTGTGAAACAGGTATGCACCATAGAAGTACACAGTAACACTGAAAAGAGGACGAATCAATCGCTTGGGCAAAATTTTTTTCGCCTGATGTTTCGAGATCCGTCGCGGATTCATCAAAAACAGAAAGCAGTAACAGATGAAGATAGCGTATACATAAGAAGTCGCAGTATTGACAAGATACAGTCATAAGTGCAAACACACATCGACAATTAATGGTAATTGCCTTCTTGCGTCTTACTAGTTTGTTGAATCACATGCAGGGTCTGACCTGCTGAAATTTCATCACGCGTGGTGGACTCGGGCCATCTGGCCGTCCGGTGTTGGCCTAGGATAACATGGTGGCCTGTCCGTTCCCCAAGAGACAAATTACTTTGGCCAAATTGAGTCTCAAGACCGTATATGGATTGGGCAACTAGTTGCACTTGTTTATTTTTTTCGGGCCCGTGAACTATTACGCAAGTAATAAGCGGTTCACTCGATTGTCACCTCCTGCGAGACTTTCCGCCTCATCATATTTACATGTGTGGCCGAGTCTCGAAGAATGAGCCGCAACTTAAGAATTGGCATCATTTTGCCGCATTGTTTCCGCGTGTTCGGAAATTCGCTTCTTGAGAAGTGTGCCAGTTTCTTCCTTATTGTTGCTTTTTCCGACACGGCACCAGATCCTACAGAAGGCTCCATATGTTTCTTGCCGTGGCAGTGGGTACTCCGGTTTCCTTATGTGACGCTTTATAGTTGCCTCCGGCCTGTGTGTGCCTCCAACTTCAAGTGTTGCGAGAAGGTGGCCGACAGCCTCCGAGATATATTTGACGTACGGGATCGCTAGTCAAATGTTGGGGTTGGTGCGCTTTTGTTGGCCGTCTCGTTTGCGCAAACACCAATTGACGAAGTTCATATTACAAGCTTGAGGCATTTATAGCGGCTTAATTAATATGCACGTCAAAAATGCAATTGCGTGAGAAAAAACTGTTGGGTGGTCCATTTGAGGGACTTCCTTTCGTCTCACGCCACACATGCGATGGCAGTCGCGGTTGCCTTGACACAGCATATTACAGGTTCCGAAAACCGCGCCGATGCTCAACACCTCGGGGTGGCTAATAAGTGCGGACATACCGACGCCTGTTTGGCCAATCACCTTGCTATGCTGTTTCACGCAAACACCGTTCTAGACGTCAACACTGCTGACGTGGGTGTCTGCGCCACGGTTGTGCGTTCGTCCGACAGTCAGATTTATCACTACCCATTATGCCCCGCTTTTGTACCGATTAAACTTTTCCTTCCACTTGGCGCCTCACAACTTCTATTCTCCTTAGGAAGTGGTCCCGAAGGTCGCACTGACAAAGGCTAAACGTATTGACATAACCTTCTGTGATACCGTCGTAGGTGTGATATGTTAAGGGGTATCAAGTCTTAGGTTTTTTATTTGCAGACCCATTTCTGCTACTGTTTCCTACTTATGTCTTTACTGGTGTATCCACGAAGGACGTCGTAACGTCAGGCGAATTAACTTATTGTCCCACAGATCAGCCTTCTTCTTCTACTCTGTTCTCTAATTCACGGTATACATCGGAATGCGCAAACAGCCCAGTGTGGTCTTGTTGTCTGTAGTGACTGACTGGTAGACTGCGAGGCAGACTTCAATACCTCCTACTTTGTGCGGTCTGTATGGCAATCCCTCGCACGCTGGAGCACACCTAGCATGGTGTTCTGTTGAAACGCCAATTGGACCGCTTGCACCAGCTCTTCTCGTCTTTTGCCTTGACACCAGGTGCAGATGTGGGAGTAGTGAGAGAGTGAGGTAGATCCGGCGGGTCTACGTCCACCATAGTCCACCTATTGAAAAACTAACCGGGGCATTTGAATGAATTTCCCCCTCGAAAATAATGCTTTCCAAACGACAGAATCTCAACAGAAAAACTGCACAGATTTTAATCACGTTCTTAATCGGCGCATCGGCAATAAATGCAGTTGTTCGATTTACTCGTTTTGTGTTATTCAACGACTGAACTTCCATATTTGTGCTCGAATCCCCCACCGAAAGTTCTTGTGTCTGCATTGGTTGGCTTATCGCAAGCAACAAATGCCAATTTGTAACACTGATTGTCTGTTTGAGTATCATAAATAAGCGGACGAACCTAGCAACTTTTAAAGATTAGTACAATTGTGTTTAAGGTGTGTCACTCATTCAAGGATGGTGTTGCTTGATATTGGAAATTGCAGTCTTCAGCCATTGTGCGTTGTTTGTGATGTCAAGGTCTTATTTGGTTCGTGGACATAATTGTATGCACAGTGAATTAAAGATATTTTTGCTGAAAATTACACATTTGTATTTTCATAAAATACCTATTCTCCCATCTCTCATAAAAGACTGTGCACTGCTGTAATAATATTTCCTAGAAAAAAACAACTAAACACCTTCTTAACGTCAGACATCATCTGCTTTTTAACAGAGTCCAGCACCGCGTTTCCATTCAACTTTGGCAATTGCGATTAATGAACCTTTGCGCAAACAGCGGATGTTCATTTTTGAATACATTTTCACTCTGTACAAATATAATCTTAGAGCGATCTAAAAATAAGCGGAGGCGAGGAACCTGGGTGCCAGCTGCCTAACCGTTTACGGACTTGTATCCAATTGCGCAATATTCTCTCTTTTCTCTCTCACTATTTTGTTGAACGTACGCTGGCAAGGCGCAGTTATGAAACCCAGGTGCTATTTTATATATTAAAAAGCTTTTAGGGGAAATCCTATTTTTTAAAGGTGCACCTATTTTTTGGCTGTCACTCCAGTGAGAATATGGGAAAGTGTAGAGTATTCACAAAAACCACAGAAATGCACGAGAACCCACTGGAAGCGGATAGTAATTATGCGGAAGTAATATGCTCTTAAAACGCACATACGCACTACTGCTAATAGTGTACGTGGATTTTATTACATTTTTCACTCATTTAAACACCTATTTAATCATACTGATAAGATAGCATGCAAAAACAAATTCCAAGTAACGTTATTAACACAATCTTAAATGACAGTATCAAACAGAAAGCAGTAAATTACCTGTCATAATGCACATTTTGCTTATTCTTACACAGTATTTATCCCGTGAACAATCTGTAAGTTAAATTGAGCAGTTATTAATATTTCGCTCTATTTATCGCGTCATTTGCTTTGCGTAAGTGTACGGTTTCCGAAAAAATAATTTGTAAAAATCTCACAATTGCACAATATTTAATTTGTTGGTTTTGCTTTCAGATGGAGGTAAGTTATAACGTTGCTGCTCTGTTCTGTGTTTTAAAACCCGTTTAGGAATGAGTAGTTGTGTTTTCTGAAGCAATCAACTCTCTTGTTACATTACATTTACAAATCTGGAGGCCATCTGAGAAATAAGAGCGAGTTTTTCCTTGTAATTTGTTGAACACTTCCTAATTTCATTAATATATTTTCAAAGCAGAGGACAATCCTTCGATGTCCGAAAATATTTAGTTTTGTGTACATCCTGCCACTATGCCTTCTCTAAACAAGATTTAGCATGCAGTTTTCTTAAGTATAAGGTTTTTGAGCTAAATTTTGTCGCTACATCAGAACAGCAAGACTTAATGTGACCTTTTTATCCATTACAAGTAAAAAATATAATAATATAAAACCCCACGTTTTTGTAATATAATACAGGTGATTAAATGTATCAAAATATAGGTCATATCAAGAGATATACGAAATAATTAAAAAGTGGTACTTATAAAAGTAGGTAGCGCTTGCTTGTAAGCAGTGCCCAACTTTACATTGCATAAATAAATGCTTACCTGTATGAAAAGAAGTAGTTTCGATCACCGGAATCGTAGTTTTATTTGTCTGAGCTTTCAAACTCTTGCGGGAGACCATCGTCAGAGATAAAACCGTCAACGAAAGCAAGCAACATTTATAGGGGAAGGGACCAATTAACCGTCAACGAAAGCAGGCAAAATTTACAGGAAGATAGACAATTAACTGTCACCGAGAGCTAGCACAATTTATAGGTGGAAAGGGTCAATAATCCGTCATAGGGGCGGGGGGGATGTGGCAGGGAAGGAGAGAGGGACAGGACAACCAGTGCCGTGAGTCCGGAGATAACCGCGCAGGGCGCCAGCTCGATGCATCGGTTAACTGAATTGTCATACAACGCCCAGGCTTCAATCAGTTTTCGACCCGTCTTGCTGCTTGCATGGGCAATTATCATCGCAGTTGCGAAGTTGAACTCTTGAGCCGTCTCGTAGTTGTGGGCGGCCACTTGCGAAAATGTTTCACGCCGCTGAATAGCCTACTTGTGTTCGTGTATTTGCGAACCCAGCATGCGTCCAGTCTGTCCCGTGTAATTTACAGGGCATTTTAGACATGGTATGCGATACAATACATCCGACTGCTCACTGGAATTTACTCGATCCTTGATCGTCATGACCCGGCTATGCATTGAAGCCTTGGGACGATGTGCGATTCCGAGTCCCGCGGCAATATGCTCGGTCGCTTCCGACACATCGTTGATATAGGGCATCGCATGCCAAATCGTGGGAGGTGGTTCTGTTAGGGTCCTCGGAGGGCGGGCACGTAGGCCTCGACTTAAGAAGGCTTTAGGATAGCCAATCTGCATAAACCGGTCACGCAGATGTCGGGCCTCACGTGCTTTTTCTTCCGGGTTACTGCAGTGTTCTTTTGAACAGCGTTCTCACAGCTTCGTTTGTGAGCCATCGGATGGTTGCTGTGAAAACTAAAAAATTGTGTGATGTTGGTCGCCCTTCTGTAGACCCTCGTTTCTATTTTGCCCTCGGGAGTTCGCATGAAAAGTACGTCGAGAAGGGTAGCTGCTGATCCTTTTCTTTTTCCCGCATGAATTGTATATCTAGGAAGATCGAGTTGAGGAGATCATGAAAACTCTGCAGTGTGTTCCTTTTGATGATAACGAACGTGTCGTCAACTTAACGGTGCCAAAAGATCGGAGGCTGTTGGATGAAGGCAATATTTTCCAGCTCCTGCAGGACCAAATCTGCTTTTAGACCGGAGATTGGAGAACCCATCGAAATTCCCTTGATTTTTTCACAAGTTGTTCCAGCAAAGGTGAAGTAGGTCTTTTGACACAGTCCGAAAAGTCTCACGAGGTGTTTCATTTTGAGTGGACTCTGGGTTTCGTCGTACTGTTTCTCAATTTTCATGCACAAGACATATCGTGCCAAACCCGGTGGAATGGATTAAAATGATGATTTCACGTCAAAGGAAACCAACATTTCGTCTAATTAAATCCTCCGGCCGTGGAGGTCTTTCAGGAATTAGGAGGCTGAACGGACTGAGGCATCAGAGTTTTCTTGGAGGAATTTAAATTTCGAGTACATCCATTTTGCCGAATTATAGGTGGGGCTGCCTTTTAGGGCAATGGCGTGCAATGGCACGTTCGTTTTATGGATCTTTGGCAGACCATAGAAACGAGCTAGGGCAGTATCTGTTGGTTTTATCGGACGCCGTTCGTTCTCAGTGATCACACTCTAGCGTTTGAATTCTGCAACTAATTTTTTCAACTGATTTGATACAGCTTTTGCTTCTGAGTTTTGCGCCTGTCTGTAGGATTCTCTGTCATCAATCAGGGCTTTGGCTTTCTTGTCGTAGTCTTCGCGATTCATGAAGACCGTTGACCTTTCGTCATCCGCGGGCGGTATGATAATACGGTTGTCCGTTCTCAGTTCTTTAATAGCTTTCACCTCATTCTTCGCCACACATTTGGCTGGTTGGTGTGTCATCAGTAAAAAGGTGATCCGTTGTTGAATGGAATGTTTCTCATCTTCTGTTGTTCCAGTCCTCACAAGCATGCCTTCTCCGGCTGCAACGAAGTCGACAGGGTCAGCATCGGCGGTGTTAAAAGACGCTTTATGCTGGAGCACTCGTAGTTGCTGTTCCGTTAGTTGCTTGGAGGAGAGGTTATGCACCAAGTTTGAGCTTCCTGTGGTGGATGGTTTTAGTTTATTAAGTTTCCGATCCAAGATTGCTCGCTTCTTGGCTTGTCTGAGATGCGCCAGCGGGCATATTCTCTTCTGTTTTGCTCAATCACTGCTTTGTATTTTCGTAAACACTGGTGACAAACATCATCTGCTTTGTAAATCTCTTCGTAATTTCTCGGCCTATGTACGTGTTAACGGACATTTTGTATCTCAGGCATCTGGGTATCGGTCCGTCCTTCGTGCATTGGTGCAAGAAACGTGCCGAGAACTGATTGAAACCTGGGCGTTGGATGACAACTCAGTTAACCGATGCATAGAGCTGCCGCCCTCATATGTTACCCTGCGAGGGTATCTCCGGACTCATGGCACTGGTTGTCCTGTCCCTTTCTCCTTCCCTGCCACCTACCCCTGCCCCTACGACGGATTATTGACCCTTTCCACCTATTAATTTTGCTCGCTCTCGTTGACGATTAATTCTGCATCTCCCTGTAAATTTTGCGTGCTTTCTTTGACGGTTAATTGGTCCCTTCCCCTATAAATGTTGCTCGCTTTCGTTGACGGTTTTATCTCTGACGACGGACTCCCGCAAGAGTTCGAAAGCTCAGACAAACAAAACTACGATTCCGGTGATCGAAACTACTTCTTTTCAATCTATGCACATACCTGGGATAAGAACCTTTGCCTCAATATATATGTTCGCAGTAACCTAGCTTTTCGTGTATGGACTTTGCACTTACCATTTAAGTGCACCCCCTACGCAGAAAACCTAAGGGTGCTGCAGTTGAGTTTAGTTTTAAATTTGGTTTGGGTTTAGGTTAGTTTTGTTTTTAGTGTATTCTTTACTTTAATTTTAATTTTAGATAAGTTTGGTTTTCAGTTTGGTTAGTTTAATTTAGATTAATTAATCTAAGTTTACTTTATTTAGTTGTGGTTTAGGACAGTTTCCCTATACCTATTTTTTTGCTCTAGGTTCCCATTTCATGAGAGGGGTCGGCTACTGTGAACCAACTGTACTAACGGCCCAAGATGGAGGCAGCATCGGCAAACTTTCGATAAGAAACTACAGCTAACACTACAGCTGCACATTTGGTAGAAAAGATACATGATAACACATGATGCTTCACGAAACTCACATCATGTACATGAACGCAGGCCCATATCCAACATACCTGGAATTCAAGTCTAAAAGTTTGACGAAAATTGATTAGAAATGAGCTGTCGGGTAAATCGGAAAACATGTTTTCAAACGTAATATGACAGCGCCTACAGGACCTGCGCCTCAATGTTTTTCATAGACTAAAAGTTTGCTTACATTTAAATAATTTCATCTTTAACATCTCCATCAATTTGACGAAAATCTCCACAGGCGAATTCCCATAAAATCGCCAACGGAAGTAGTTAAATAAACGAAAGATCTCTCATATTATTTTAACCCATATTCTATTTTAATGTATTCGCAATTTCATAAAGGTCCTCTGAAATTATGTTTCTTATAAATAAACATAAAACTGGTAAAAAAGTGTGCTCCCAACAGAAAAATGTTCTTGACTTGTGGAGTTGGATTCTCATTCCCACCCATCCAAAAACAGTTGTGCATTCAGAAACGTATGTTTAAATTTGAAAAACCAAAGTTCTACAAGTAGCTATAGTAAGTTCCGCCAAAAGCATTGTTAATATAAAATTTCGTTGTTCGTTTTGGCATTGATGAAAATGTCCGTTACTAAATAGATTTGCAAAATGATAATTTCATACTGTGCATGTGGTCGTCAAGGTATTCTGCTTAGAAATAGCACTCCTTTAATTTGTCTTATAATAGAAAGTACGCGGACACCCAAAACACTTCATAAATCTAAGAATTACATTTCGCCAGGAAGGGAAATGAAAAAAAACCGAACGGGCCCTTCATAGTTCGGAAGAGGAATTCTGCAACAAAGGCATCTCCAAATAAAATATCCAAAGTGCTAAAGTTCCTCAGGGTAATATTGCTTCCTTTTGCCTTTATTGATTTTTATTTTATTTGCAAAAATATGCAACAGTTACCGCTGGATTGCGTTAACTTCCTTGTTGTAGTTCAAAAAAAAACTGAATGCACAGAAAGCATTAGTTCTTCACTGTCAACATAAGGCCAATCCTCCTCATCCAAATCGTACGCAACCTCATAGAGTCTCCTTGATTTAAAAAAAACGGTGACAGGTAAGCGTTCTACAGCTTGATGAAACTTTCTTTTCCTAAATTCGCGGTCACGTATTAAATTATGTGGAAGTACTGTATCAGTTTATTATAAACCATGCACGTGGCTGTTTATTTGTTTTCGTCTGGTTTTCTACTGTCGATGAGAACTGTTTAATTAAAAATACTCATTTGCACAGCCTGCGAGTACCAACTTACAGCCCATCAACAGCCGAGACAAGTTCTTGCTACTGTTTACTGCTTACGTTCCTGATAATGATTCCGCGACGGTTGTCGAAAAACCAGGCGAATACAAGTATTGTCCCAGCGACTGAGTCGTCTTCTTCTCAATTACTAACACAGTAAATAAATTTGCTAAATTCCTTCTATGCTATAAAAGCGCTTACGCCGGGGTTCACCTAGCCAAAACGCATTGGAATGATTTTAATACAACCTAACGATGTTTTGCTCCAACACCATCGGTTACTGCGAACTACAATAGATTACATATCTGATAAAAGGTTGAGGATTGGGGGATTTAATACAAATTTGAGGTTGTTTATTCAGTTCTTTGGGTTGAGTTGAGGCGCAAAATGCTGTTTATTAGGATGGAATTCCGTCCAGATCAGTATAATGGGATACAATATAGGTGGAAATGGGCAAAATTCGGCGTTTTTTTGAAATCCAAGGAGTTTTCAACGCTATTGAACGCTGCGGAAAAAGGCTTTTTGTTTGTTTATTTGGCACTATCCAAAAAATATTCATGAAGAGCAGGAACATTTTAATTATATTTGTGTACAAAACTGAAAAATTTTGTTTTGCGTCCTTGATATTGAGGTTAGTGAACGTACGAGATACAGCACTATAGCCGAGAAAAGATCGATGAATTTAGCTAAAAATGTTTGCCCCACAAATCTGTTACGTTCGGTGCCCTGAAGATAAGTTATAAACTGGCACGAAACCAAAGTGTGTTTTAGTACGCCACAATTACAAGGCGTATTTGACCCTACCTGAAGGTCACGCAATAACGCGTGTTTTTTAATAAAAATCGTTTAATAACTCCATCCAACTGTTGTCAAAATATAGAAAGAAATCAGTAAATATAAAAACTTGGAACGGAACAGGCAAACGATTATCATTTTTAAGAATATTGGAAGATATTCTGGGCACTCTGTTGTGCAACTAAATAAAAGAACGGTGCCCTGAATTAAAAGAACGTATTATGAACTGCTCAAGTTTTCATAAGAATGTAAGTTCTTTCATTTCTAGCAGAGTTTTTTTCCTCTCAGTTTCAGGGAAATCAAAAAACGGGTCAACATATCCCATTGTGATCTTGACTTCATCTTAAAAAGGTATCGTACACAGATATTTGACTTCGAGATATCTAACTAAAGCGCCTTTTGAGGAGTTAACTTGTTATAGAAAGTTTTTAATTAATATTAGATGTATTCATTGTCAGTTTTTTTGTGGAAATCCATTTTTCTTGGCAATGAGTTGACATGCTTGGGCGATTCTAAAGTTATGATCCACACAGGCAGCTATCTAAGGAGGGATGTTTAAGAACTCATTATTTAGGTAAATGCTTTTAAGATAGTTCGTATTTGTAAGTTTTCGGTAAAAAGGTTGAACGAAATCGGTATTTATCGACAAACAAAGCAAAACAGTGAAATTCGTAAAGTGCTCAGCAAAATTTCGAAAACAGTTAGCTGCTCGTCACGCTTGAAGTCTTGAACTAATTTTTTTTAATGTGATAAGAAGGAAATTTCTTTCAATATACACAACATGGTATGAATTTGTTTACAGGTACAACCGTAACCAATTTTTTCAGTAAACAGCCAGCCTTTCCATGTGTGGCCTTCAATGTATTTTTATTCCGCTCAACAGCCGGGATATGATTACCATAGAAAATGTTCTGGAATTGTCAATAGAAATTGATAGAAAGCACGCAAGGATCATTTTGTGCATTAAAAACGGAAATGTATACAAGGTATTCACATTGGGAAAAAAATCGCAGTTAAGGTGACCACACCCATTTCTGACCCATTTAATTCAAGTATAAATTTTAATGGAAACAGTGTTATTCATAAAAATGTTGTATTTGTAATTATTCTGGATTAGCTTGCCATTATTTTCGATTCCCATCCCTTAAACATATTTATATTTCACATTGGACCAGTGACTTTTAATGTTGCCATTACCTTTGCCACTGCCCGCGTTTGCGGATTTTTGTGAAAATTAAAATGTGTATGCTAGTAAATTGTAATTTCTCAACCAAACCCTGACTTTTTACTTATGGTTTTTACTTTACTGTTATAATAGTTTGGGGGCACGCCGCATATGCTGACTGCCCGCAAAATAACTTTTATTACGTAATCAAACATATTTCATGAGATAGTGAATCTGCTGTAATTTGTGCGCTTGTTCTCTTCAATTTGAACAAAAAGCAAATATGACTGTTTGTAGACTTGTAGGAGTTTTCTGATATTTCCAATGATTGGCATCCAGAGGGGATAGTATATATATGCAGTTGGACGGGTAATGAAAACTGAGACGACTGCCTCAGTCTTTATAACCCAAGGGCTGCGCCAGACATGCTTGCAGTTGACTAACACTGCCTGTCTAGTAAACATAATTAAATGTCTGGCGACATTTTTCGGAGTGTGATTCTACTGCGCCTGATTTTCTGTAAGTCTGTTTCCCTA